ATCGATGCAAAGAATTGCCTCCTTTCTGTGAGTGCCCACTGTTTCTGCTCTCCCTTGTAGAGTATTTCTTTCCCTGCTCTTTAAGTCCAAAACCTTATCCTGTGTCTTTGTCTGCTATTCCAACACCACCTTTAAAGTAAACGTAAAACTCTAGAAGCAGACAATGATGACAAATCATTGTAATTTCTCAATAAAGAAAAGCCTCACTCAATGGAAAGGCACTGGGCTTTCTGCTCACCCTTTAAGATCCATAGTGTTAGCTTAGATCTTGCTGAACTCAGAAGGAAATGATAAAGGAAAAATTTTGAAATTAAGAAAAAAAAATAAGAGGAAGGAGATCTCCAGGTTAAAAAAAAGGTCAATGGTAGAAAATTGAAGCCAGCAGTGCACAGCTGACACAAAACACACAGACATAATGAAGAAAGATTGACAAGCTAACTTAAGTGGGAGAAATGGAAAATATCACGTGAGTCACTTTACAGGAAAGTACAAACTATTTATCTAACCTTCCCTAATAAACGTACTTAGAGAAACAGGTATTAAGCTTTCAATGTCACCATTTTCAATTGTTTGTCCATTGGCACGATTGTGTTAAACAAAGTGAGTTACCCTCACAAATTCCCTGAACACTGTACTTGCCTTTAATAATTGTTCTAGATCATTGGTACCAGTGAAGTTACCCATATGAAATCACCTGAAAATGTAAAGAACTTAGGTGCATTTAAGATATTGCATATCACAGTACCAAAACCAAACCAAACTCATTGCCACTGAGTCAGATCTGACTCCTAGCGACCCCTCCTTAGGTTTCTGAGGCAGTATCACTACGGAAGTAGATTGCTCAAACTTCCTTCCAAGGAGTGGCTGGTGGGTTTGAACTGCCAGCCTCTGGTTAGCAGTCAAATGCCTTAGGCACTATGCCACCAGGAGATCAAAAACTAAAGAAAATGTGTTTCAGTCACTTCTCTTTTTTCTTACGTATATATAGAGACATAAATTGCTGTTAGGTCCCATTAAATCAGTTCCAACTCAGAGACCCTATGTACAACACCATAGAAACCCTTCCCAGTCCTGTGCCATTCTCACAATTGTTGCCAAGCTTGAGCTCATAGTCATAGCCAATGTGTCAGTCCATCTCCTTGAGGGTCTTCCTCTTTTTTATTGACCCTCTGCTTTACCAAGCATGATGTCCTTCTCCAGGGACTGGTTCCTACTGACAATACAACATAAATTATCTTATACAATCCCTACTATGATTAGTCAAAGCTGAGATACTGCTCCTCACAACCTTTCCAGGCCAGTCTTCCCTTGGTGCCATTGCCAAATTCTCTCTCAGTTAACTCCATTATTATTGCCATAAACCTGGAAATAGATTTTGTAGATTCTCTCATCCTGCAATAAAGTCAACTCAGAACTCCCAAAGAAGTCACTCTTGTCTAATTTCACTCTGTAAAACCCAGAAATCCATTTCAAACTATGCAACTAGTTCAAACTATTTCAATTAAAAGTAAATACTAAAAACATGTTGATACAGTAAAAGCTGTCTTAATTAACTGATTAAAATACTTTCTTGGCTCTGGTGATGTAGTGCCTAAGGCATTGGCTTGCTAACTAGAAGGCTGGCTATTCAAACCCACCAGAAGAAAAAGGGGGCAATCTACTTCCGTAGTGATATCGCCTCGGAAACCCGATGGGGGTCGCTATGAGTAATAAAGACTTGATGGCAGTGAGTTTGGTTTCTTTTTTCCTTATGTTAAGAATGTTTTACAGAGGAACTAGAAAGTATAAAATAATCTGAAAATCCAATGTTGGGAGTGGATTTAAGATGCAAAGCAGGTTGGTAAGAGCCTTTTATTATGAATTATATTTTAATGAACTTTAGAATTAATCAGCCAATTTCTCCTTCTGATTGAATCAAATAAGAAATTTCCAGTATAGTAATCTTTTTTTTTTAACTATGAAGCATTTGGGAGGGCGCATGGGATTGTAAGGTGGAGTAGGAAAGCAGTAGGAAGGTACCTCATCCAGACGGGCAGAATTCACCTACTGTTCATTTATTACAGTTACTTTTCCAAGTCCATGTCCCAACAACCATGCCAATGTTAAATATTGTGTAATGGTGATTTTTAGTCTCTATCTCACCTATTTCCACAGTTGATTCCAAAATTAGCATAACTGATGTAAACTAGCATGTGATCATGATTCCCTACAAAAACCTAGTAGTGAGAATTTAAAAACAAATAAATTATAACCATTGTTTCTTGAAAAATAAAACCTGAATGGTACTATATGATCTCATATTATATCATTATTCTTTTCTAATGTTTAAAGAAGATTGAATTGGTTATCTCCAGCTATGAATTAGGGCCAGATATAATTAAACAATCCTGGAAATCCTACTAAATTTTTCAGGTCATTAAAAATTACCTCTAAGTGAGCAATAACTTAAGGTGATGTGAAAATTGTAACTATGATATCAACTCAGAAAAGCTTGCTTTTCACATCAATAAAAATTTTACTCCGTAGTTAATTTGAACCATAACCAGCATCCTGTAAATGCATATCATTGGTTATTAACTAGAAAAAGTGAAATAATTTGACATTATAATCCATAGCCACTAAATCAGTAGTATCTCATAAACAATCTGTAACTTCCACTAAGGACAATTTAATAGCTGTGACCCTTTACAGAAATTCTCTAATTTTATTCTCACAACTTTACAAGGTAACCAAATATTACATGGCTACTAACTGGAGAAGCAGGGAATCAAACCCAAACAATGTCACTTCTGAGCCTGCCCTCAGAGACCATAGTTGAAAAAAGAATAAACTAGCCAGCTAGAAGTGGAATCACCATTTCAAAAATATACTCTAAGTTGATAATTGTGTAGAATGGAAATATCTGATATTTAAAAACCTTTTTAAAATCAGTATTATGTTTCATTCTAAAAGTAAATGTTTATAGGGTACTGGTATAGCCATTGAACAGTTCAATATCATGGGGGACAAAGGTGAAAAATATTCTTATATTCTGTAATAAAAGAGACTTAGATGCAACAATTGCTAACATTTTGCTATATTTGCTCATTCCATTGTGTGGCTCAAATATTTCAAGGTAAATTACAAAAAATGACATCACATCTCTAAATAATATCATATTTATGTCTTAAAAATAACTTTATTTTATAAACACAATACCATCAATACCTAAGAATACTAATAATTCATATGTATCATCTAAAACTCAGTTCATATTCAAATTTCCTAAATTTTACCAAAATTACTTTCATAATTGTTTTATTCTAACCAGAAATCAAATAAGGTTCATCCAGTATATTTAATTGCTATTTAATTATGAAATCTAAAGGAAACTTTCTTTATTGGCCACCAAGAGTTGCAGGGGAGGGGAGGGAAAAAAGAAAAGGGAGAAATAAATAAGAAAAAAAGGTGTATATGGTTTTACATTATATTTCTTACTTTTGTATATTTTCTCAAATTACAAAGTCTGAATTTAAAAAACAGCTAATATTCAAATTTTTCAGCTCAGAAGCAATTGTCCTTCACCAATATTTAGCATCATATCTATTTTTTTAATTATCTGCCCTTTGGTGATTTATAACTCTTAACCCCCACTCCAAAAAAAACTGGTGCTCCATCACAAAAACTGTCAGTGGGAAATCACTCTGCTTATTTTGAGAAGGCAACAGGAAAGGATGGACAATCTGTTCCTAGTTGAAGGATCTGGGCCATGGTTGCTCACGTCTCCATACATGTCATCAATCACCATCATGTTTCTTATCAATCAAGTTAAGTCATTCATTGAGAACCTCCTTGTCACCAGCTTCATCAGGAAGAAGTCAATGCACAAAGGACTACTGTCGAGCTTAGCAAACTACAACTATCCTTTCTTTGTCTTTGAAAGAAAATTTCTTCATAGAAGTGACCTTATCCTAAATCCAACAAATTTCCTATTTCCAAAAAGCTCAACCAGAAAGCTATAAAGCCTGAAAATCCTCTTGTTCGTTCTCCTCCTTTGCTCCCAGTTACCATTCTAAAGAGATCTACTGGAGGCAATCAACTGAATTGACCATCCTAAGAAGAAAGATTCACAACAGGCCAGGTATGTGGGTATTTTAGATATACTGGTGATTAATATATTCTAATATAAACTAATGATGCAACAATGGACTCAAGCATAGCAAAGATTGTGAGCATGGCACAGGACTGGGCAGGGCTTTGCTCTGTTGTACATGGGGTTGCTATGAGTTGCAAGAGAGTCAACAGCACCTAACAACAAATACAAACTTTAAAAAAAAATTACTGTCAGTTGATTCGGCTCATGGCAACCCCATGTGTTACAGAGTAGAACTACTCCATGAGGTTTTCTTGGCTGTAATCTTTATGGAAGCAGATTACCAGGCCTGTCTTCTGAGGTACCACTGTGTAGGGTCAAACGTTTAGTTTAGTTGTCAAGCACAAGCCATTTATGCCATCCAGTGACCTAATACAAACTAAGATAATTGAAATATATATATACCAGTTGTTCTGATGCAATTACTCTCTTCTCATGAGCTACAAAAGTATTTCCTGATAAACTCCGGTATTGATAGCCAAAAACATGGTTAGTGTGGAAAAGTTTTACTTTTGAAAATAGAGAAGAAAATATGACAAGTGAAATGAATATATTAGGAATCTGATAAAATAGTAAGTAACAGACTCTTTTTCCAATTGGACCAGATTGTTTTCTTCCTAGTCATCAAGTCTATTCTGACTCGTGATCAGAATCAGCCATTGAAAACCCTATGTCTGTTGGAATGAATATTTTAGCCTTGCAGCAATTTCGTATGGAATGTAAATATATACATATAGTTTTCAGAAGTATATTTTTTAAAGTGTACTTTCTAACAAAACTAAGCTCTTTACCAAAATCCATCCCTCACCCACAGTATCAAAACTAATAATAAGCCACTTTCTGCTTTTCCCAGGAGTTAAAGAAAAAGATGAAAACTCTGCCACTGCTAGTGTGCATCTGTGCATTGAGTGCTTGCTTCTCAGTAAGTATCCACCTAACTACCTTTTATTCTTCTATATCAATGGCAGACCATTACTGTGTATATCTGAGACTTCAAAAGTTTAATATCTAATTCCTATTTCCAAGAAACTTGACATTTGTTTTAATTTTGGTAAAACATAAGAAAATAAATAAAGCATAGAAAATAATTCATTTCATTTAATCCATATTTATAGAATACCAAGTTTATAATGAAGTGTGATGAAATCTGACAGAGACTCCAGAGACAGATCATGTAGGGCCTTGTAGACCTTGCTGTGGATTTGATTCTAAGTACATTAGGATATCCTAAGATGAGTGAAGAGAGCAGTTACTGGACTAGGGCAATACCCAGATGAAAGATGATGATGTCTTGCACTATGACTCACTAAGACAAAAAATGAAGGTGGATTTAGGATACATTTTGGTGACTGAGTCTACTGTACTCACTGTTGGATTGGATGAGGGGTACAAGAAAGAAACAAACAAAGGAGCTCTGTTTCAGACATGTTAGTTTAGATATGGCTATTAGAATTCTACATGAAAATGACAAGATGGCACTTGGATATCCATTCTGGACTTCAAAAAGAAGTCAAGAGCTGATGTCTATATTTAGAACATATTTGAAACCTTGGGACTTTACAGAGATCACCTATGGGGAGAAAGTAGAAGGTTTAGATGTGGATAGAGAAACCAAAAAAAATGGACTGAGAACAAGTGGTCAAGAGAGTATAGTTTACAAAATGAAGATTACAAAGTGGCTACTATGTTTAATAGAGTCAGAGTCTACTGGGAGAAGAAGATTAAACTTAATAGTGATCCAATGTGATAAATCCATGCTATATTAATAACCATATTTATTTTAAGGTTATATATGGGAGCTCTGGTAGCATAGTGCCTAAGGCATTTGACTGCTAACCAGAAGATTGGTAGTTCAAACTCACCAGTCACTCCTCAGAAGGAAGGTTGGGCAATCTACTTCCGTAGTGATACTGCCTCGGAAAACCAAGGAGGGGTCACTATGAGTCAGGTCTGACTCAACGGCACATAACAACAACACAACAACATACCTATATTCACTTTTATTTTGATGGATTTGAAAGGATAGTCAAGAAGTAGAATGTAATTTACTGAATGAGACTGGATATCCTCATAATATTATGACTGATAAAGAGGCTAGAATTGACTCTAGGATGTTTTCATATTCCCCACTTACCACATCCTATCCCCACCAAAACCATCCTTACACTTTTTTTCTGAGGACTTGATTTTGGGTCAGAAGATGTGGGTTTAAGATCATCCAGGTAAATCTTAAGCAAGTTACCATCTATTTATTGAACCCCATTTTCCCCTTGTAAAAAATAGTAGTAATAGTATATGCTTCACAAGATTCTTGAAGAGTAAATGAGAACACACGTATTCATAAATTATAAAGCATAGTGTAGGAATTATGACTATAAGATTCTTATAATAATTATTTGTATGATAGTTGACAAGGATTTAAGGAGCTCTCATGGCTAAGTGGCTAAGCACTCAGCTGCTAACCATAAGTCAGTAGTTTGAACCTACTATCTGTTTCTCAGGAGAAAGATGTGGCAATCTGTTTCTGTAAAGATTTACAGCCTTAGAAACCCTATAGGGCATTTCTACTCTGTCCTATAGAATTTCTGTGAGTTGGAATAGACTCTAAGGCAATAGGTTTCTATGGGTTTTTGATAAGGAATTAAGGTCTAAATACGCATAATGACTTACATCTTAATATGAAACCCCTAGTTACTAAGCACCTCTAAACTAAAAGAAGTGATGTTCCAATCAATAAAAATTATTGTGCTATCAGAGTGCCCAAAGATGTGTTGATATTTTGAGGTAGCCCTTTATAGAGCTTCCCACAAATCCAGACACCTAAAGAATTATCTCTTCACCATGTTCAGGGTAAATTAGACTTTTTAAACTGATATCATCTCAGAAAGCTTCTAGTGAGAGTGAGAATTTCACTAGAACTTGAGAAGGAGCTCTAGTGGCCTAGTGCCTAAGGCATTTGACTGCTAACCAGAAAGTTGGCAGTTCAAACACACCAGCTACTTTACAGAAGAAAGACTGGGCAATCTACTTCTGTTAAGATTTACCACCTCAGCAAGTAGCGACTGGGATCTTAAAAGCTAGCAAGCTGCCATCTACATGCAACGATGGGTCTCTCCTCGTCCAGAGCAAAGAAGAATGAAGAAAACTAAAATTCATGGAAACAATTAGTCCTAGTGACTGGTACACCATCTGATCTGCAGCCTATACGACTATGAGACCAAAAGAACTAGATGGTGCCTGGCTACCACTATCATCCACTTGGAAGGGGATCTATGTAGATCCTTGATAGAAAGGGAGAACAATGTGGAACAAAACTCAAAATCATTTGTAGGAAAAAAAGGGGGGGGAGGGGGACCAGGTTTGCTGGTCCAATACAGCCTGGTGGAACCACTGAGACTATGGCCCCAGCTGCCCTTCAGGTCTGGAATTGAACCAACACCTGTAGTTTCTAGCCAAACAAAAGACAGGCATATGAGTTGAACATTTACCTCAGGTAGATAAACTCCTTGGACAGAACAATCATGGGAGAAAGAAGGGCTGCTTATGCACAGGGAGACAGCTTAGGGGACAGGAATGCATAGAGGGATGGGGAGGAAGTGGGAGGGGAGCTGTTGCATTGTGGTAAACTGTGTGATCAATGCCATGAGACAAAGTATATGTGATCTGCTGTATGGAAAGTGAATTTTCTCTGTAAATCTTCACCCAAATCACAAAAAAAAAAAAAAGATTTACTGCCTCAGGGGTTGCTATGAGTTGGAATCTACTCGATGGCAGTGAGTTTGGTTTGAGTATGGGGAGGTTGCTCCGGAATACCTTAGCCTGGTCCTTAGAAAATGAATGTCCCAAAGAGAGACACCAACCCACAGCCAAAGGAGACAATCCCACAACAATCTATTTTGTTTTTGTGGAGTGATTTCAGGGAGGATATAGTCTGGCCCTTCTCTTTGGGATGCCTTATAAAAAGATTGAGGGGATGGATGCATTCTGCAGTCAAACCAAAAAACAAATGCACTGCCGTTGAGTCAGATGTGACTCATAGTGACCCTTCCTTGGGTTTCTGAGGCAGTACCACTACGGAAGTAGGTCGCCTAACCTTCCTTCCGAGGAGTGGCTGATGGGTTTGAACAGCCAGCCTTCTGGTTAGCAGTCGAATGCCT